TTTATGTACGGAGTGATATGGAGATGGATGGATGAGAGGAATTTTCTTGAAAGTTGATCAATATGAGCCGTCAAAATCAACCCATTTTTTTTTTTTTATTTTCCTAAATCTATACACATACGTTGGAGTATTATCTGAGTCTTACGTTGTTTAGATAAGAAAACAATCATGAACACATTAATGTTACAACTAAAATGCATTGAGACGAAATTATTGTAAGCAAAGTTTTTCTGTTCCAAGGCCATATAATTGAAGGATGACATGTTTATGGATGTGAAATTGGTTGAATAAAATGGTAAAAAGAAAGTTATAAGAATTTATATTTTATGCAGAGGGAAGGGAAAGAAGGCATTAATGAAAAATGTCGTGACATGGGAGGTGAAGTTGAGAAGAAAGACGAAGTTTAGTGTTGGTGTACGACATTTATTGATTCAGAGGCAGCACCCACCCAGCTCCAGCAGCTGTCCAAATACAAAACTGCAACGCCAAGGACATCTGGAAAAATGCATCGTTTTTCTCTCTACTTTTGTGCTCATTCATACACCTCTATTATTTTTAATATCTACTATTGTTGTTTTCAAAAATAAACCATGTGGTATGTTTCCATTGGGATTTCTTGTTTCTTCGGAGGGGACGAGACATGGGTTTGTCCTAACACACTCACTATGTTTTCAATTTGGAGGACTCATTCCTGTCTCATTATTTTTAGTAAATTGGACCAATACCAACACTGTACAACAACCCTTTGTCTTCTGGTGCTAACCTTCGTGGGACTGTTTTCTTTTTATTTTTACGTCAAAAGCATGCGTATTTGAATGGAGATTCAAACTTTTCGATTATTTAGAGTATAATGTTTTAATTATGCTTGTAATTATAGTTTGTACTATATATATACATATTATTTTTCAGAATGGCTGTCTCTGTCTCTGTCTCTGTCTCTGTCTGGGGGGGGGGGTCCAAAAAGGAGTGAAATGAATTGAACAGAGTGAGTAGGTGATGTGTTTTGGTTTCTATATACTCATTCATGCTTGATCCATGCATTACATTTGTCTGTCTCTTTGTCTCATTCAGATTGCAATTAATGTTCCCTATTTATTATCATTATTGTTTATAACTTCGGATAGAAAAACAATTTAGGGGACAGTTCAAATGAAAATGGAGGCAGAATGTAATTTAAAAAAAAAAAAGAAAAAAAAAAAGGAGAAAGATAAAAGTGGTAGGAGAAGGTGACAAGACAAAGGGTGTAGAGTAGAGAGTAGAGGGAAATGTCTACATCGCGTATCCAAGGTAGAATCTTTGCGCCTTCTTTTGCCTAAATCCTACAGAGGCTACGGCGCCTCGTGATCCCTCCAGCTGTTACTTGGCCCACTCCTCTTCTTCCCCTCGCCGCTCTTATTTTATTATCTGTCAACTCAAATATGTCCACATGCCTGCCCCTCTCCTGCGCTCCTCTGCTCTGCCCTCCCCATTACTCCATCCCTCCTCCTCCTCCTCCTCCTCCTCCTCCTCTCCTCCCCTCCTCCTCCTCCTCCTCCTCCTCCTCCTCTCCTCCCCTCCTCCTCCTCCTCCTCCTCCTATCTGCGGCACCTTCTTTCCCACTCTTAAATCACTCACACATCCTATCTTGGTACACCACTCCGGCCCATGTGCCAACTTGGGCAATTCACGAGCCCAAGTGACTGTTCTATTTGGGCTTAAGGTGGGAACATAGATTGTCCATCTGTCGTTTGTTAGTTTGCTGGGCCGACACTACTAGGCTTTAGTCATCACAACACTACTAGGCTTTAGTCATCACAAGTTAGCTTCTTAAATTTCAATAAAGCCTGTTAAATTGCTACTACCATCCAAAGTCTATATTTGATGCCTTCACCTCCTTCAATTATTCAATCAAATTAACTCTTAATAAGTGTTAGATCCATGTATATAATAAAGATATGAATTTGAACAATAATTTCAATCCATATATTTGACTACTATGAATTCATATAATAAAACCATTCCATTTGCAAACTTTCTATCAATTTTTGTGTATTACAAAATTAGCATTTTCATTTAAAAGTTTAAGAATAGACAACACTTGCTTAGATTTTTAGTGGTGGTAGATTTTGTATCGTCTCTCTAATATACGTCCATTTATTTCGGTCATGGAAGATTCCAGACAAAGACAAATGCACATTAATTGAAAATGAACAAATTTTCAATAATATGCAATATATATAAATATATAGTATTAATATCAATAATTTCTCCACACCATAGTAGTTAGCCATTACGTGGTGCATAATTTCTCCGCACAAAATATTCATTCTCATATTCTCATAATTTATTTTATTTTATTTTATCAATGATATTTCTTATATTAGTAAAGAGACTCACGATCATAATTTTTCTTTCTAAATTATTGTCATCATTTTAACTTTGATGGTCGAAAATAAGGGGAAGATCCAAAATTCATCCCTTCACGCAATGGACGAGTTTCGATTCTGACCAAAATCTATGGATAGTTTTTTTTTTTTTTTTTTTTTTTTTTTTTTTTTTTTTTTTTTTTTTTTTTTTTTTTTTTTTTTTTTTTTTTTTTTTTTTTTTTTTTTTTTTTTTTTTTTTTTTTTAATGACAACTAATATAATTTCATATTATTTCTCAACCACATAATAAATAAATAAAATCCCACCAATCACCCCACCACTCTGCTATGGGGTCCTATAGACAGTAGACGTGTCAAATTCCCTATTGAAAGAACAAAGCAACATATGTGTCGGCATTAATTTATGTTACCGGGAGTACCATAGTTTTTTTTTTTTTTTAATCTTTTTTATCTCTCGAATATATATTTGATTATAAGATATCTCTAACAAATACAAAATTGAAAATTTGTAATTTAAAGAGTTTTTGGATTTTGAAGATTTAATTTTAATATATTAAAATTTTGTAATTATATTATTTTAAAACGATGGAAGAGTTTATTAACAAAAGGTCAACATATCCTAAAATTATTAGTTTATTAACATATTTCAACACTAAGAGCATGCCACATAGCGTATTGAATATTCTTAATATGTATGTGAAATTTTATATGTCAAAAAAATATTATTCGAGTAATACAAAATTGTGTGTCTAAATATTTTAATAAAATACAAAATTAAATAATTAAAGCAATATATTATCCGTCAAATGTTACATATTCAAGTTTGTATTACAAAATGATTATCAAAATAAGAATGGGAAATTGGGTCGAGAGAAGTATGAAACAGAGGGAAGCTCTTGCGATGGGAACTCGTTCAACATTTTTCACGTGGAATGGATCTCAACGCACGTGATGCACGAGGAAATGGAATTTGCGTTCCACTTATGTGATGAGAATTAAAATAATAATAATAATAATAAAGGATTCCATGCTCGCTTGTTTGTTCTTTTTTTAAGAATTAGTGTATGTTATTGTATTTAATAAACCATTGGTTAGTGAAGCTTACAAGTGTGTTTATTCAACTTTGAATACGTGCATTTGTCAGTGCATTAAGCTAAAGTACATCAACTAAAACTCTTTTTTAATTAAAATGTTGTTATTATAACTAAGTAACGAGACCGTTCAACTCTTCTTTGAACAGGGAAATAAAAAGTATATATTTTCTCAATACTAGTTGCTATAACTATACTTTCGAGGCTCAAAAAAATAAATACATAACTACTATATCATGTTAGAAACATCAAACCTCTACATTGGTATGATTGTCTACTTTGAGCATAAACTCTCGTTAATTTACTTTTGATTTATCCAAAATATCTTATACCAATGAAGATATTATTTTTCATTTATATATCAATAATCTTCATTTTGATTAGCCAATGAAACTCAAACAATTCTCAATAGACTTACAAGCTAGTAGCATAAGGCCCTGTTAACTTCCAAGTCTTTAAAATTTCGGTGTTTTAATATTAAAATATGTAAATTAAACATCAATATTTAGGTATGTTCACATGGCTCGACATAAAAGTTGTGCATACGCATAAAATTATTATATTAATTTCTCAAGATAATATTGATTAAATACGTACATTATTTTTATAAAAATTAAAAATGAATATTAGAATATTATAAAATAAACTTATGATTCACGTTTTTTTTCCTTTCTTTCTTGGATTGGAAAAGATGTAAAAATTATTATATATTTATTACATCACATCAAACATTACTTGACTTCAAATCTGATTTTAATTAGAGAGCGTATTCACCTTTGAGTACATCCGATTAGATATAATTGAAAAATTACATTATTATTTAATATATATCATCAAATAAATTATTTGTATGTATTGCCACTTGTAGTAATTTAAATACAAAATTTATACTTAGAAATATATAAATCGTGGAATATTATTAGACATTTCATATAATTTCATTACAAATTCAGATAATTATTATAATGTTGTTAAGAACAAAATTTTGTAACATACGTATGGTACAACATTATAATATTGTTCCAAAATGAAAGTTATGGCATTGGTGGCTGATCACGGTCCCCCATCTTTTGGCGTAATATTCAATTATTTTCTTATGAAATCCAAGGGCCGAGGACCACCAATTATGTTACATTAATTTGGTGAAATCTTCTAATTATCCCCTTACAAATTAATCCATAAAAGATTATCAAACAAATTATAAAAAATACATTTAAATTTTGCCTTTTTTTAAAAAAAAAAAATGATTAGGATGTGGGAGGAAAATATAAAAATCATTATTTCAAGCATAATCCAAATAATTTGCTTAAAAATATTTATGAAATGAAAGAAATAATATTGTGATTTTTTATAGAATTTTTAAAAGAATTAAGAAGTTGGAAATGGATTAGCATAGAATGTAAATTAGTTGGGAGTTGGGAGATAACTGAGAGTAATTTAGGAGAGATGCGGATGTTAAGCATCGCAAGCTAGTATTAGGCGCCACATTTGAGCTGTAACTAATTATATCCTATGCGACTGTTCATTCAAGGAGACGGGACGGCACCAATGTATAATGTGGCTTCCTTTTCACCACACACATTCTATAAAATCATCCCCTCTTCCTCAATTTTCACTCCCCTTAACCGAATCTTCTAGACTGACCAATAATCTTTCGTCGTCGTCGTCGTCGCCGCTGCGGTGATCTCCGTGTGGTTGCTGGGATTTTGCATTCTCTGGAACGAGGAAACAATGGTTGATTACTGCGCCTTTGGCTGGATCTTGGCCGCCGTCCTCGGCCTTGCAATTGCACTCTCTTTCTTCGTCTCTCCTAGGAGGAATCGTCGAGGAGGAGCCGATTCCACGCCGAGAAGCGAGGGTGTCAGAAGCTCTTCAACTACCAACGGAGAATGCAGATCCGTCGACGGCGACGCCGACGTTATCATCGTCGGAGCAGGTGTTGCCGGTTCCGCTCTTGCTCACACTCTCGGCAAGGTACATCGGTTTTATTGCTTTCTTTTGAATTTTGAATCTGTTCTGTACTCCTGTTCGCTCTCTCTCTCTCTCTCTCTCTCTGCATTTTTCTCCGTCCTGTTCGCGCCACCGCGCATCTAATTACTCCTTCTGGCTCCTATTATTAATGAAAACTTGGGGTATTTGCGTGCTGTTTATATTTGATGCATAGAAACCCTCAGAATGAAAGAATCCATCGCAGAGTTTTGGATTATGGATGAGAGGAAGAAAAATGGAAAGAAGAAAGATATTACTTCGGGATGTCAATTGCTTGTACATGTAACCAATGAAATGACTGGATGATCGTTTTTCTGTCGTTTTCCCCCTTATAACTTGTTATTGGATGAAAGTTTTATGTCGCCACCGGATGATTTTTATATGGATAAATGGAGTGCTTCAATTTCGTTGTAAAATGGTTTTGATTATTGCTGACTTAAGCAGAAGGTTCGAATGTATATTTTAAATTTTAACCCATCTATGTAATTGTTGTTCGATCTTCGGTGAATAACTATATGAATTTCCTTTTGGTAAATAAGTTAATTATTGGGGTTGGATTGTTTATATCCACATCCCTCTTCTTATTGGTTTTATTTATTTATTTATTTATTTTTCTATTTTTGTTGTTCCTCATATTTCACTTTGGAACCAAGCTGATCATATCGAATTTGATAGGATGGTCGTCTAGTTCACGTGATTGAAAGAGACTTGACAGAGCCTGATAGAATCGTCGGTGAATTATTGCAGCCTGGGGGCTACCTCAAATTGATTGAGTTAGGACTGCAAGGTTTGTAATTGGCCTGGGGAAATTTCTTTTACAACTCTATTTTCTTTCGAAGTACAATATTCATCAGTAATTAAGGAAAATAAATGTTTGTATTGCAGATTGTGTTGAGGAAATTGATGCACAGAAGGTGTATGGCTATGCCCTTTTCAAGGATGGAAAGAACACTCAACTTTCTTACCCATTGGAAAAATTTCAGTCTGATGTATCTGGAAGAAGCTTCCACAATGGACGCTTCATACAGAGAATGAGGGAGAAGGCTGCTTCCCTTCCCAAGTATGTTCATTTCGTCTTTGTTTTCAACAGAAGATGTTACGAATGTCCCATGGTCCGATCTTTTAAAGTAATGATTCAAGCACTATTTTATATTTCCTTACTACATAAGTAAATGGATTTAAGACAAATTTCTTTGTTTGGTTTATAGCTGCCCTAACCTATCGTTAACAGTATTGTCCTCTTTCCATCTTCCTTTTCAACTTTTTTCTCAAAGTTTTTAAAAGCGTTTGCGAAGGAGAGGTTTCCACGCCCTTATAAGGAATGCTTCGTTCCTCTCTCCAACCGATGTAGAATCTTACAATCTACTCCCCTTGGGAGCCTAGCTTCCTCGCCTGGCACACTGCCCCGGTCTAGCTTTGATACCATTTGTAACAGCCCATGCCCCGCCAGCAGACATTGTTCTTTTGGCTTTCTTAGCTTCCCCTCAAGATTTTTAAAACGCGTCTATTAGGGAGAAGTTTCCACACTCTTGTAAGGAATGCAATCTGGTTACAGTGAGTTCAACAATCGCCATTGATTCACGATCGATACTTCAAGGCTGTGTTTCTTGTGATTGGATAATGAATAACTACTTGGATTTGACTCATGAATGTGACTTTTTATTTGCTCTGTTTCCATTTCTTGTAGTGTAAGATTGGAGCAAGGAACAGTTACTTCGTTGCTTGAAGAAAAGGGAACGATCAAAGGTGTGCAGTATAAGTCTAAAAATGGTGAAGAAAAAACAGCGTATGCACCTCTGACAATTGTTTGTGATGGGTGCTTCTCAAATTTGCGCCGCTCTCTTTGCAAGCCTATGGTAAGGAGGCTTCAATTATTCAGTGGTACCTCAAAATAGACATTGATTTTCTCTTTAGGATTTGATTGGCTGCAGAATTATTCTAATTTCATTTTGCTAACTGCATGAAATTATCGAATACGTTCTTCAAATTCCGAGCCCTTTATTATCTCTATCTTTTGCAGGTTGATGTTCCATCTTGTTTTGTGGGATTGGTTCTGGAGAATTGCCAACTTCCTTTTGCAAATCATGGACATGTTGTTCTCGGAGATCCTTCTCCTATTTTGTTCTATCCCATCAGTAGCACCGAGATCCGTTGTCTGGTTGATGTTCCTGGTCAGAAGATTCCTTCTATATCAAATGGTGAAATGGAAAAGTATTTGAAGACCATAGTAGCTCCTCAGGTACAATTTTTTCAACAGTCCCATTCATGCCAACTTTCATCTTAACATTCATGTGTTAAATTTAGTGCTTCGAACTAATGAATTACCATTACTCGTGCAGGTTCCTCCGCAAATCCATGATGCCTTTATAGCTGCTATTGACAAGGGTAATATAAGGACAATGCCAAATAGAAGCATGCCTGCTGCTCCCCAACCGACGCCCGGTGCCTTACTAATGGGTGATGCATTCAACATGCGCCACCCCCTCACCGGTGGAGGAATGACAGTTGCTTTGTCTGATATTGTTGTGCTCAGGAACCTTCTCAAGCCACTGAAGGACTTGAATGATGCACCAACTCTCTGCAAGTATCTAGAATCCTTTTACACTCTGCGAAAGGTATAGTTTTAGTTTATGTTTGCTTTTTCCTAAAAGCAATTTCACAGAAGGCCATTAGTAAAGCTAATTTATTCGTCTCAAACTGCAGCCAGTGGCTTCTACAATCAACACATTGGCAGGGGCATTATACAAGGTCTTTTGTGCATCGCCTGATCAAGCCAGGAAGGAAATGAGACAAGCTTGCTTTGATTATTTGAGCCTTGGAGGAATATTCTCAAATGGACCCGTGTCCTTGCTCTCGGGATTGAATCCTCGCCCATTAAGTCTGGTTCTCCATTTCTTTGCAGTGGCAATATACGGAGTTGGTCGCTTACTGCTTCCATTTCCTTCTCCAAAAGGCATCTGGATTGGAGCAAGATTGGTCTATGTGAGTTATGAACAGATGAAACAGAACAAAACACCTTCCATTCATATTTTCCTTTGAAAACTTTAAGAACTTCGTAGCGGAAGTGTTGTAATGAGAAATGAATTGATTTGTTGCAGAGCGCATCAGGAATCATATTTCCGATTATCAAGGCGGAAGGAGTTAGACAGATGTTCTTCCCTGCTACTGTTCCTGCTTATTACAGAAGCCCACCAGTTCATAAAAGCATAGCATGAAGTGATGGTGATACACAAAGGATCGAACTGGGCATTTGTTTGTATCTACCTGAGGAGGAAGAAGAGGCATCCTCAGGCTGTCGGGCATTGCAGGGAAGACAAATCACTTTTACGTTTGTTAGATTTTCATTTTAATTGTGGATTAATAAACCTGTCTATTTTTGAACAGGAGCCAGGAATATGTAAATGTTCTTAACTCGTTCTAGAAACCCCAACATTAATGTATTTTCAAACAACTTCGGAACTTTCAACATAGTAATACCTAAAACAATCAATTTAGTACTCACCATTACCTTGTCATTTATATTATTCGAAAATTAATTTATATTATCCCAAACAAATGGGCCAAATGGTTTCGTAATCCAACATAAGCAACCCATTAAGGGGAGTAGTGGCAAAAATAAAGCCCATTAAAGAATTGGGCCAATTGGTTTCCAAGTCCAAATAAGCAGCACATTAAGAGGAGCAGATGCTCAAATAAAAGCCCATTAAAAAGAGGCCCAACAGGATTCATAGTCCAACATTAGAAGCCCATTAAGGAGAGTTGAGGCTCAAATAAAGCCCATTAAAAATCGCCCAAATGGTTTCGTTATCCAACATAAGCAGCCCATTAAGGGGAGTAATGGGTAAACTATATAGCCCATTTTAAAAATAGGCCAACTACATAAGCAGCCCATTAAGGGAAGCAGTAGCTCAAATAAAGCCCATTAAAAAATTGGGCCAATTGGTTTCGTAGTCCGAATACGAAGCCCATTAAAAGAAGCATAGGTTCAAATAAAGCCCATTAAAAATGGGCCAATTGGTTTCGTAGTCCAACATAAGCAGCCCATTAAAAATGGCCCAAACGGTTTCGTAGTCCAACATAAGCAGCCCATTAAAAATGGGCAAAATGATTTCGTAGTCCAACATAAGCAGCGCATTAAAAATGGGCCAAGCGGTTTCGTAGTCCAACATAAGCAGCCCATTAAAAATGGCCCAAACGGTTTCGTAGTCCAACATAAGCAGCCCATTAAGGGGAGTAGAGGCTCAAATAAAAGCCCATTACAAACAGCCCAAATGGTTTTGTTATCCAACAGAAGCAGCCCATTAAGGGGAGTAGTGGGTTAAATATAGCTCATTTTAAAAAAGGGCCAATTACATAAGCAGCCCATTAAGGGGAGTAGTGGCTCAAATAAAGCCCATTTAACAATGGGCCAAATGGTTTTGTAGTCCAACATAACAGCCCATTTTAAAAATGGCCTAAATGGCTTCATAGTCCAACCCAAGCAACCGATTAAAGAGAGTAGTGGCTCAAATATAGCACATTTTAAAAATGGGCCAAATGGTTTCCTAGTCCAACCCAATCAGTCCATAAAGGGAAGCAGTGGCTCAAATAAAGCCCATTTTAGAAAGGGCCGAATGGTTTCGTCGTCCAACCCAAGCAGTCCATAAAGGGAAGCAGTGGCTCAAATAAAGCCCATTTTAGAAAGGGCCGAATGGTTTCGTCGTCCAACCCAAGCAGTCCATAAAGGGAAGCAGTGGCTCAAATAAAGCCCATTTTAGAAAGGGCCGAATGGTTTCGTCGTCCAACCCAAGCAGTCCATAAAGGGAAGCAGTGGCTCAAATAAAGCCCATTTTAGAAAGGGCCGAATGGTTTCGTCGTCCAACCCAAGCAGTCCATTAAGGGAAGCTGTGGCTCAAATAAAGCCCATTTTAGAAATGGGCCAAATGGTTATGTAGTCCAACCCAAGCAGTCCATTAAGGAAGCAGCGGCTCAAATAAAGCCCATTTTAAAAAAGGGCCAAATCGTTTCGTAGTCCAACATAAAAGCCCATTTAAAAAATGGCCCAAATGGCTTCGTAGTCCAACTCAAACAGCTCAGTAAGGAGTGTGCTGAAATATAGCCCATTTTAATAATGGGCCGAATGGTTTCGTAGTCCAACATCACAGCCCATTTTAAAAATGGCCCAAATGGCTTCGTAGTCCAACCCAAGTAGCCCATTAAGGAGAGTAGTGGCTCAAATATAGCCCATTTAAAATTGGGCCGAATGGTTTCGTAGTCTAACATAACAGTCCATTTTTTAAATGGCCCAAATGGCTTCGTAGTCCAACCCATTAAGGCTAGTAGTGGCTTAAATAAAGCCCAATTTAAAATGGGCCGAATGGTTTCGTAGTCCAACATAACAGCCCATTTTCAAAACGGGCCGAATGGGTTTCTAGTCCAACATAAGCAGCCCATTAAGGGGAGTAGTGGCTCAAATAAAGCCCACTTTAAAAATGGGCCAAATTGTTTCGTAGTCCAACATCAATATTTTAACCCTTCATATTAATACCCACTTTAATGTTGCCATAATACTACAAGAAACTCAATTCCTCTTAATAATTTACACGATTAACAATTCAACAAAAAACCACAAATATGTCATACTGTTAAAATGGTGTGCCGAAACTCTGACCCGTCGACTAGAGGTGTGGTCAAGTCTTATGCTCAACCGCTCTTTCTTTCTAACTTTATGGCCTCATAAGATGTCATCACCTCTTTGAACTTGGCCTCAGCAGCCTCTGCAACACAGTGATCATAAGGGGCTATTGTAGAACATAAAGATGAATATCTAAAATTAAACAAAAAGAAAGAAAATGATACAGTGATGTTTGATCATCTTCCATGATTCTACCTTTATTATCCTGGTTCTGATCTGGATGAAATTGCTTCGCCTTGGATTGGAATGCTGTCTGTGACCATGAATAGTTAAATTCACAACCCACGACTTGAATAACAAAAATAATTCACAGAAACTGATAACAAAAGGTTAGAACAACAGTAACATAGGAGCTTATATGAATTAAGGAATATACCTTAATCTCAGCATCTGTATAAGGTGTTTTTCGACACCTGAAGCAGACATTAAGGCACGATGTCATTAAGACAGGTAATTGAAACTAAATCTATTGGACCATAAAAGCTTTTTCTATGGTCCAGCAGAATGGAAGATAACCTCATAACTAACCCCTCAACATAGAAAAGTGGAATAGTGCCCGATGAAATGAAACCGATTTGTAGGTTAATCCTAACAAAAATTGGAGGGGAAGAAAAAATTTAATCGTAAGCAATATTATCACACACTAAATTCACCTGTTGAGACCCAAAACTGTATAATGATGCGATAGCAAGTAGCTTGTTCTATCTCTTGGAGTTTCCTTATAGTTATTACTTTGTTCTCTGTAGAACGTCTCGGCTTTCCAATACCAATCATCTCGCTGGTGATGTTGATGAAACGCACCACCACCATTCTCTCCCCAGCTTTCGTAGCCTCTCTTGTATTTGTTCCTCTCTCTGTTGAATACATTCTGCATGCGCCTTATGCGCTCCTAAATCAAACAGTGCACAATGAGATCCAATCAGCCCAAAAGAAAAAGGGATGAGATATCAGAATCCAGTTAGAAAGAAATAAAATACGGCGAGAAATGGCTTGAACGGGGAGAGGGGGAGTTGAATTTCGAAGAAGATAAAATCAGTCACGGTGAGTCGGACGTTGGAAGTTTTGAACTCCAAGAGTGTCCTGGGTTTGGAATGTTTAGAGATAGGTTCAAGGTCCAAAGTTCAAATTATATGTTGAATACTAATTACTAAATAACTTAAACAATTTGCTTTCGAGAGCTTAGCCAACAATGGTCAAATGAGATTGCGGCCAAAAAAGCATAACAAGAGCTTCTCTTGAAATTTCAAATTCAAATTAACCAAGAAAGCAGTATAAATTCCAAGGTCTTAGAAGTTTAAAATAATAGAATAACATTACAAGACACTGTTCTTGCTGGACAGAAAATGAAAGGAAAAAAATAAAGAATTCTTACCACCCTCTCCATTTCTTCTTCATATTCCTCTTGCAGCCTACGATTATACCTTTTCCATGCTTCCTCCTGAAACGATGACCGGAAAGAACGACCACTTCCTCCACCCCGTGATGATTGTGACCTGCTCAACTTTTGTTCAATAAAACAATAATATCAGCTACCAGATTTCAAGACTATATCGCTCAATTCTTTCCTTTCTTTTCTTTTGTGCAAGTTTTGTTTCTAAGTGATATGATTATAGGTGCCATGCTCTTATCAATATATATATATATATATATATATATATATATATATCTCCCTCACAGCAGTTGTTTCACAAACGAGTTGCAAAAATTGAACAGCATAATTAAATGCAGTCACGCATATACCTGAGTATATACCCAATCACCAGTTCTCCGCAGATGACCAATCTGCCCAAAAACAACCACTGTCAAATTGGGTAATCTAGCAGCAAGTCGATTAAGCAGCAACTTCAGGGAGAGAAACTACTTGATGGAACTCGTATCCAAGTATACCAGGAATTTTTTTTATGTCACCACGTATTAGTGCATTCAAGTAATCAGTCCATTGACAAATTTACTCGCATACACAGATTCAGGTAATTTCTTATCATTCATTATTAATGAGGGATGTCGTATCAGTTCATGAAAGTCAGGATCAGTTCAATAGCATATACTGATGCTGGCCTACTGATTCAATGAAATTTGAATAAAGCATTTCATTATAGATCGAAATTCATATTGCCCATCACTATTCCGATCTCTCATTTTAAGAAATTTAATGAAAATGTAACTCAACACCTAAAATTCCATGAGCTTGAACGAGGAGAATTAAAATTGAATCAGCAATAAATAGACTAAATAACGAAAAGTGCGATTAGACTCACGGCGAGAGTGGTGGCAGAGGCACCGATTAAACCGAAAAGTAGAATTGCCCAGAGTTTCAAGTCCTCCGCTTTCTCTTGATGCGGTGGTGTTGACGATTGCCATCGATCACCCTTATCCGGTTTTCCATTGTCATCGGTCATCTCCTTTCGATGTAAGTCACGTCCAGCTGATTGTAGTAGCAGATGTTGTCCGAATTCGAAAGCTTAGAAGCATGGTTTAGGGTTTGTTTCTCCCCCCGTCTTTTCAATTCCGCTCTTCTCCCTTACCGACACCGCCTCGAGAAACAAACCCTGCGCTCGGACGGGTTTGATCGAAACCAAAGGAGAAGACGAAGATGAAATCGAATTCAGGGATGAAAGGTAGGAATTAGAAGCTACGTAGTTTTGTTTGACGCGAGATTCTACGCTCAACGCAACGAAGTTTTGTGACGACTCGGACTCTGGAAACTGGAAAACACAGTTATATATACTTTTTCATTTTTAATTTTTCTCTCAAAAGAAATTTAAAAATAATTGGAAAAATATGATTTTTATTAAAATTTATTATCGATAAAATTAATAAATTTGATTTATAAATTAT